AGCAATCAAACTGGCTGAATATATGCTGGTATTTCATAACAGACCCATAGAAAAACAATGCTTTTTATTTTTATGCTGACTGAGTCACAACAAGTTAACTAGCAAAACCTTAGTCTAATCCTATACTCTTCATGCACAAAAAAACTCCCATTGAAATCAATGGTTTCAGAGTAACAGCCGTGTTAGTCTGTATTCGCAAAAAGAAAAGGAGTACTTGTGGCACCTTAGAGACTAACCAATCTATTTGAGCATAAGCTTTCATGAGCTACAGCTCACTTCATCGGATGCATACTGTGGAAACTGCAGCAGACTTTATATACACACAGAGATCATGAAACAATACCTCCTCCCACCCCACTGTCCTGCTGGTAATAGCTTATCTAAAGTGATCATCAAGTTGGGCCATTTCCAGCACAAATCCAGGTTTTCTCACCCTCCACCCCCCCACACACACAAACTCACTCTCCTGCTGGTAATAGCCCATCCAAAGTGACAACTCTCTACACAATGTGTATGATAATCAAGGTGGGCCATTTCCTGCACAAATCCAGGTTCTCTCACCCCCTCACCCCCCTCCAAAAAACACACACACAAACTCACTATCCTGCTGGTAATAGCTCATCCAAAGTGACCACTCTCCCTACAATGTGCATGGTAATCAAGGTGGGCCATGTCCAGCACAAATCCAGGCTCTCTCACCCCCCCCTTTTCCCGGGGACACACACACACACCGATGAAGTGAGCTGTAGCTCACGAAAGCTCATGCTCAAATAAATTGGTTAGTCTCTAAGGTGCCACAAGTACTCCTTTTCTTTTTATTGAAATCAATGAGAGTTTGGGGTAAGCCAGGAATATAAGATCGGGGCCACCATTTCCACAGTTAGGCACATTTCTTGCTACCTTCACTGATGTTGGTACACAAACTGAGTTTGTGTGTGTGTGTGTGTGTCCCCGGGAAAAGGGGGGGGGTGAGAAAGCCTGGATTTGTGCTGGACATGGCCCACCTTGATTACCATGCACATTGTAGGGAGAGTGGTCACTTTGGATGAGCTATTACCAGCAGGAGAGTGAGTTTGTGTGTGTGTTTTTTGGAGGGGGTGAGGGGGTGAGAGAACCTGGATTTGTGCAGGAAATGGCCCACCTTGATTATCATGCACATTGTGTAGAGAGTTGTCACTTTGGATGGGCTATTACCAGCAGGAGAGTGAGTTTGTGTGTGGGGGATGGAGGGTGAGAAAACCTGGATTTGTGCTGGAAATGGCCCACCTTGATTATCATGCACATTGTAGGGAGAGTGGTCACTTTGGATGAGCTATTACCAGCAGGAGAGTGAGTTTGTGTGTGTGTTTTTTGGAGGGGGGTGAGGGGGTGAGAGAACCTGGATTTGTGCAGGAAATGGCCCACCTTGATTATCATGCACATTGTGTAGAGAGTTGTCACTTTGGATGGGCTATTACCAGCAGGAGAGTGAGTTTGTGTGTGTGTGGGGGGGGGGGTGGAGGGTGAGAAAACCTGGATTTGTGCTGGAAATGGCCCAACTTGATGATCACTTTAGATAAGCTATTACCAGCAGGACAGTGGGGTGGGAGGAGGTATTGTTTCATGATCTCTGTGTGTATATAAAGTCTGCTGCAGTTTCCACGGTATGCATCCGATGAAGTGAGCTGTAGCTCACGAAAGCTCATGCGCAAATAAATTGGTTAGTCTCTAAGGTGCCACAAGTACTCCTTTTGTTTTTATTGAAATCAATGAGAGTTTGGGGTAAGCCAGGAATATAAGATCGGGGCCACCATTTCCACAGTTAGGCACATTTCTTGCTACCTTCACTGATGTTGGTACACCACAAGGAAGTCAATAAAAACAGCCATATTCATTTCATATCCATTCAAAATGCAAGAGGATGACAGTTGGGGCAGGGAAAACCGTATCTGCCAGATGGAAAAGGACAAAATCAGTTGGAAAAGACAGTTTTATTTCCAGGCTTCTATGAAATTTTACAAACAATGGAGGAGTTTAAAAAAACCCAACACCAACACTCTATAAAAATCTTGACGTTATTTCCTAAACTATGGCATCAAATGAAGTTACAGAAAAAAAAATTTTGTACAGTGAAGTGCTATTCCCCATTCTAATAGTGACTAGGCAGTCGGAAACGGAATGAACATGGCCCAGTAATAAATCTATAAACCTTAATAAAAACAATCCAAGATTCTGAGCCTAAAATATGCCTGATGTATATACTATACAAGGATCTCAGCTAAAATATTTATCTGCATAACTGAAAATACCTATATGAAAATACAGTGGCAAAGGCACACACAATGCAGTTTATAATGAAGGGAATCTTGCGCACACTGGGGCAATGTACCACAGAATACAAAAGAGCTTGGACATTTACTTCCTAATCTTAAACCTCAGCTGCTAATATATTTCTAGTTCCTTTATGTTTTATTTCAATGTACAATAGATTTGCTCAGTGGTTATATTCTTCACCTTGAGTGAAACAGGAAAGCGTTACTGCCATATTTTCCGTCTGAGCATGGAAGATTCCCAGTTTACAAGCCAAATGTTGATGTCCTGCATTCTGGTCATCATCCTTCTAGTCACTAGTGGAGTGGATGAGCCTTCTCGATTTTGCTCCTTAACTAGCTACTGGAGTCACTCTTGATTAGAAAAGGCAAATATTACCCTCCACATCCAGCATTCTCCATCTTCTATCCCAGACCCATTTCAGTCCCTTGATACACAGCTCTCTGACACACAGGTGTCTACACCCCTGCACCATAACCCCAAATCCGGCCTCCCTTACTGGTTCTGTTGCCAGAGGACACCGCACACCTGTACTTGCTCCAGTCTTGACATTTTTACTCCCTTCTTTCTTGGTCAAATTACCATTGAAATAAACTTTTGCCTGAGTAAGGACTACAAGATTTGCAAAAGTTCACTAACAAGGATGAACATGAAAAACTGCTGCTGTACTTCATTACTGTTATGGACTATACTGTTCTCTCCATCTCATTTACTTAGACTAAATATCAGGAATTTAAAAACATCAACACAATTTAATTAAGAGTTTATCTGAAATTGCAAAAGCATGCAAAACATTGGCCCAATAAAGGCTTTCTGAACATCTTCAAATAGATGTGGAGAACTGATGTCAAGTAATCCATGATTCAATTCAGCTTGCTCCTAGTGGTATCCCAAATGTATCCTATTCACAGCATGTAGAATAGGAAATATTTAATTACAGAATATGGGTTTGTGCCTGCACCATTTTACGTGTAAAGAAGGCATGGACAGGGTCCAGTAGTCGTTTCTAAAATAACTAATCTTGCTATAATGGTTTTGATAACAATTGTGTTTTTGTTAAAAGTAATTTGTATAATTCAGTAAAGCATATTTTCAGAGTTCTTTAAGATGGGCAGGGAAGAGAAGCAAAAGTATTTATCCTGTACTAAAACAAGTTCAAGGGAGGGCAGCGTTTCTCATGTCACTGTTTATTTTCTAGATTACCGTCCATTCTGCATAAGACCTTTTCCAACATTTCCCTACTGTTAGAATGGCTGAAAGTACAGTGGCCTCACAGTTTTCCTCCTACATGGTGTCTGGTCTAATGCATTTAGAATCAATCGTCCAGTCAGGGAGCGGACTGGAAAAGGGGGGAGTAGTGACTTCAGTCCTTTACAGTTTTGAAGACGTAGAGTGCCAATACCATCCTCTAGTGCCCAGAGACTTTAAAATAGACTGCACTACAAGCACATAGAGCGCTGCAGGACAAGAAAAGGCCAACAGCCCAACAAGCTTATTAACTTCTTCTGAATTTGAAAACCTGTTCTCTCCCACATACTCATTTAAAATTATACACTTAAATTACCTTATTTAACAACTGTTTCTCTAAGTGAGATAATTTTGCCTGATTTCTCAGTTTATACTTCAGTTCCTAATTTTTTACATTCTCTCTCTCTCTTTCTCCCAGGTTTTCTGTGCCTCACCAACATGAACACAGCTTTATCTAGTTCCAGTTTAGCAACCACAATAAAAACACCACAAAAAAATCTTCTAAAAAACCGGTAAAAGGAAATATTTTCTTCACATAATGCATTAATAGCATGTGGGACTCATTACCAAGATATCACTGAGGCCAAGAATTTAATAGGATTCAAAAAGGGATTAGACATTTATATGGATAACAAGAATATCCAGAATCATAATAGTAAATATTTTAAAATAAACAAAAGTGTGCAAACCCTCATGCTTCAGTTCTTAAGTCAGCCTCTAACTATTGATGGTTAGGAAGAACTTTTCCTGAGAGCTGGCTCTCCCATAACCAGCTACTTCTGGGTTTCTTGCACCTTCTCTGAAGCATCTGACACAGGCCACTCTTAGTGTCATGATACAGATGGACCCACTAGTCTGATCCAATATAGTAGCTCTTATGTTCTCCTTCACCAGTCAGAAGCGCCACCATTCTGGCTTCCCCATGCACACAAGGTGCTCACATACTACAGTCATGAGCACAAACCAACTATCTGTCAAAATAAATATGCATTTTTAAAAAATGGCTATCCTAGCATATCATCCATTCTTTTCAACCTCCCTTCACTCTACTCACGGAATACCAACAGCAAGACATCCTCATTTGCACTAAATTAATTATCACGGGACAAACTCAACCCTCCGATGTGCCTGTGACATTTCTACTGAAGTCAATGGGAGTCACTCATGTGTATCCAAGGAAAGAATCTGGTCCACTGAAAGACAATGCTTGATGGTCTATATGTTTCAATGTTTTCCTGTTCCAGACATGGTTTTTAAGGAGGGGAGAGGTTGACATCTACTGAATCTTTCAACATACCCATAAAACAGCACAAATGTCATTATCCCAAAAAGAAATAGGCTGCAATTCACAACTATTCTTACATCCTTACATCATTTAAATTAATGGTGTTAAATATGGTACTTAAGTCTTTGTTAGCATCTGCTCAGTATTAGGTATTTACCTTTAGTCCACCACAGATCGGACAAGCTGAAAAGAGAGCTCTTGCCATCCCAGGGTGGGGGCTATATATTTCACAGGGGTCAGCTGGGACTCCACTAGGTGGTGCCAGCTCACTACTTTTGGAGTCTAACACCTGTCCTTGTGGTTTTACATCTGACCACCTCGAAACAAAATCCACATATGTCTCATCACTTGAGTCTTTGGTGCTTTCTGGGAGTAAGGATGCATGCCTCCCCCTGTCTTGGCTCTGCTCAGGTGCCATCCATGTTTCCGAGTGTGGTACCAGCACCTTAGGGTCACTAATGCCTTGAGGTGCTGGGTCCTGGTCCTTTGGTTGGGTGGAATCCGCACTCTTGTGTTGTACATCTATAGCAGCTGCCTGTAATAAACTCCTGGGTGTGTCATAAATATGTCTGACAGGGCTAGGAACCTGATATTCTGAGCCCAAGCTCCTCTGGGGTTCACTGTGCAGGCAAGTACATAAATTCTGATCTGAAGGAAGGTTCAATGGCAGGCTAAGCAATGATCCAAACTCATCACCATGGCAAATATCCAGACTCCCAGCATAGGAAGAGAAACTTCCAGAGTAAGAAGAGTGACTACCAGTAGCTATCCCACTGTCAGAAGAACTCTGACGACCTATTTCCTGTAGCTGTCTAGACCGAAGAGGCTTAGGAGGTGGTTTGGTGGTGCCACGTGCCCCTTCTGCAAGCGTTTTTTCTTCCCCAAAATGAATGCCCTTTGCAGGTACCAGTCCATGACTCTCTTGAGAAGTGCTGGCCGAAGACTGTTCAGGCCAAATTGTTAACCTACTCCCAACACTAGCGTCCGAGTGGCTGGTATCTGAAGACGAACTTGACAGGCTTCTATCATCTCCTGGAATAAAAGAAACTAGATCAACCCATGTTCAAAATATAATTAAACTAAAAGCAAGGAAAGGACAAATAAGCAGAGAGGACCATGGAATTCTATCTGTCTCAGGGGAGGGCTGGTTCTGCCATATTAACAGAGTGCATCTTACAATTTGTACCCCTGGAAAAAGATTCAAGAACAACCTGGTGCCCTTAGTGTAAATGTATTGTATCTCTGAAAATATATCACATTCTATGCTAAAATTGAAGATTATGTGCCTGCATCTCCTCTCTGGTGTAGACCAGGAATAGCTGAAGTGAAGCCAATTACATAACACTGGGGTAAAACATACATCAGCATATATTCTACTCCAGTGTTATTTCACTGGCTTCAGTTCAGCTATTCCTAACCTACACCAGAGAGGAGAAGTAGGCCAAATGACCTCAAAATATCTGAGGATGTTCCAAAATATAAACTTTTAATTCTAAATTGCCACGAGCTGTATATTAGATTTCAACATTTGTATTTGATTTGAAGCTGTTGAATGAGTTTCTGTTTCATAGAAATCCCTGAAATGTAGAGCAAGAAGGCACCTCAAGAGGTCATCTAGTCCATCCCCCAAGCCAAGGCTGGTTTGATGCTTTTTATCTCTTACCAATGAATTTTAATTGAACAATTGCAAAGTCAACATTTTTAAAGGCATCAGATATAAAAATCAATTGTTCAGCTCGAGATTATCTTTTAGCTGATAGACCCGAAACTAAACTCTACCACGTTCCAAAGAAAAACAAAACTGTACATCACGTGAGCAGATGAAAATGTAACCGATATGGCTATGATGACAGTTTTGTATCCATAATATATACACATATCCCACCATGATACTTTTATGCATGGATTGAAAAACTATTTTTCCCCACTAGTAGCTGTAGCAAGAGTATTTGCACAGAAGGTCATACATACCTGAAGCACTCACTGGAAGTGGAAAACTAAGAAAAGGCTATGAATTGTCATGGTAAGGACAGCCAGGCATTTTCATCCCAATTAAAGGTATTATGGTATAGAAAGTGATTTTCTGCCCTTTTACTTAAGAATGGAAATTAACGGGTAGACAATGCGTCATTTTGTTAGTATTAATTTTAGACTTGGTGGAACAGATTCTTAGCTGGTGTAAATAGGTATACCTCTGCTGAAATCATTGGTGCTGTGTCCATTTGCATCACTCAATGCTCTGAGCATGAATCAAATTCTATTCTCAGTTACAATGGTAACCTCATTGGACTCTGTGGTGTCACTTTGGATTTGCACGGATGCAAAGGAAATCAAAATATAGCCCCCTAAATCTAACCTTTTTTTCCCCGCTACGTTCATTGACTCGTGACTGTTGTTTTTCATGTTCTTTGGCTCCAGATGGGAAGATCTAGTTTTATTACCAGAAGGTATATAACAAGTAAAAATCAGAACAATAAATCCAGAGCATAGCACAAGAAATACACCCTGGAATGTGTGAATCTATTTACAAAGAAGATTTTTACTGAGGACAAAGCAAGTTATAATGGTTATTGGCTTTTAAAAATATTTGGAAGTAAATGTATATTTAGAAACACTAAGCACCAAATTATGCCTCCACATGTAAATGTCTTTAAGACTGACATGCATACACGCGCCCAAAGACACAGAAAAAGGAAGGGTTTAATGTCAAAGGACAGGAAACCAAGGTTCTGTTCCTCACCGTGCCAGAGATTTGCTGTGTGACTTACGCAAATCACTTCATGCCATAGGCCTTAATTCAGCAAGGTACTTAATCACGTATCTGACTTCAACGAGACTACTCACTTCAATGTGACTACTCACATGCTTAAAGTTATGCACATGCTTACGTACCTTCCTGACTTGGGGCTCTGGAGCCTGATCCAAAACCCACTGAAGACAACAGAAATAGTCCCACGGACTTCAGTGGACTTTTGATCATGCCCTTAAAGCAAAGGGAGCTAAGAGAGTGACCTTGTCCAATACATTTGGAAGACTCAATATTTTAAAAAGGTATGGTTTTCTTATGTCAAAAGCCTCAAGAAAAAGACCGTTGAAATAAAATCCAGACTTGTATCATAGCTTGATCGTAGGCATTTCTTACCTCCACTGCCCTGGCGACTTGAATGGGATAGTAGGCTCAGACGCTTTTCTAATTGCAAAGCTTCGTGGGCCACTCTCTCCTCCATGTAGGCTGGATTTGCGCTTGGATCTTTAAGAAAGGAACAAATGGGTAAGTTTTTGAAAAAGGCAGTGAAACTACTGAGAGAAAAACAACGAAATGTTATACTGCATCTTCTACCGTAGGGATTTAGCAAACCTTGTCATGTGTTTGCATAGGCTACCTTCCTAAGTAACATCTCACTGACAAACTTTTTATCTTGTTATTTCCCCTCTCCAAAAGGTCATAGGATATGGGACAAGTGACCTTTAGGCCTGACCTGGAGAGGCACTGAGCAATCAGTGGGAGTTCTGTGTGCCCAGTACCTTTCAGGATCTAACCTAAAGTCAGCAAAAGTAGTAACTAGGGGACTGATCCTGAAAGGTACTACACTGGAATCAAGGGCAGTTGAGTGCCCAGATGAGAACCTAGATCTGGGGGATTAAGAAGAGAGTATGTGACCTTTAAAATTAAGGGTGAAATCCTGACCTCACTGAAGTCAATGGGAGTTTTGCCATTAACTTCAGTGGGGGCTGGGTTTTCACTCAGAGTTTCTGGTGTGGATTTATAAACTAATTCAAAGACAGTAATATTTTTGCTACCATACAAGTTAGAATAATAGAAATACGAGGTTGGAAGGGACTTCAAGAGGTCATCTGGGCCAGCTATTTAAAAGGATACCCAGCATACGTGTTTTTTTAAAACCTTGTAAAAATTAGACAGAGAAAAGGTCAATTAGACCTTGCCTATAAAGGACTATTGCTTATATGCTTATAGTATATTTTCTACTGGTTTAGCCAGTCTAGCTCAATGAAATGTCACAATGAGAGAGGATCCCACCACCTCCTGTGGTGGGGGAGAAGGTATTGAACACTTCACAAACTTGAGTGTACACCTTCCTCGGAAAACATGCCATTCTTCTCTGTATCGCTTCATTTTCCAGCCACGCATGATAAAACCAGATGTTGGTAGCAATCATTATTATATTCTTGAGAATAATTTGACAAGATTACTGTAAACATCTTAAAAATGTACGGCATGTTTAACAGCTGCAGTGTATATGGGCTGCTAACTCATTCTCATAGAAGTTTCAGTTGGTCTCATAATTACACAGGAAAAGAAGCAAATGTGAGATACAATACAGATTAGCTTTGGCACAGCTGCAGTTACCACATTCCTGCTCACACTGATAGTCACAGCATCTGTAACAAATATATACGGAATCATTTAACAAGAGAGGAAGGATAAACAGAGAAATACATTGCTGTTCATGGGCTGGTTGAGATTATGAACAATTTCTAACTGTGGAAACCAAGATTTCCATGTTTTTACATTGTGTTTCTCCATTCTCAAAGACTTGGGCTTGGTTCATTCCTACAGTGCAGATGCATCAATGGAGACATTCACAACCATGTGACAGCTATTACTGGCCACCTTTGGAGACAGTAGGCTTAGCAATTCAGCCAGGGTTGTATAGGACCAGCCAAAGACATCCAGGAGATCATAGAGACGTACGACTGGAAGGGACCTGGAGAGATCGTCTAGTCCAGTCCCCTGCACTCATGGCAGGATCAAGTATTATCTTCTAGACCATCCTTGACAAGTGTTTGTTTAACCTGCTCTTAAAAATCTCCAGTGATGGAGATTCCACAACCTCCCTGGGCTATTTATTCCAGTGTTTAATCACCATGACAGGAAGTTTTTCCTAATGTCTAACCTAAACCACCCCTGTTGCAATTGAAGTCCATTGCTTCTTGTCCTATCCTCAGAGGTTAAGGAGAACAATTTTTATTCCCCTCCTTGTAACAACCTTTTAAGTACTTGAATGAGCTCAATCAAAATATCTCACAGATCCCTTGCCCTGACCCTCACCACTGACTTTCTGGGCTGCATCAGCTGGCCCTAAGCCCTTTAGTGGAGAAGAGGTTACTGTCACGGCGCACTCTTTAGCTTTCCTCCCCATCTAGGTGGGCTTTTCATTTCTGCAGATCAGTAGCTTGGTTCCCACTGACAGAATGAATTGGGTATACTAGGTATTAGTTATAGATACTTATATTGAACATTAAAGCTGCTCTGCAAGGGACAGGGCTTAAAGTGATCTCAAAGAAATGCTGGGTCTATCAATGATCATGACTGGAACAAAGTCAGCGTCACTCCCATTTCACAACTCCAGGCCATCCTGAGGTCCACTGACTTTATAACCCTCTTTGCTAGTGACATGTCTCAGAGGCATCGCCAAAGACTTTTTTTTTTTTTTGGAGGCTGGGTCTGTGACCCCACCCTTATCCCCCTGCAACCCAACCCATTTTAGGCATTGATTAGGACCAAATCCTGCACATCCTTACTTAAGCAAAACTCCAGTTGCATACAGTGGGAACCTTGCTAGTGTAAATTGCAAGATTTCTCCATCAGTCCTCATGGCTCAACTCAGACATATCTAAACGAGGAGTTGGCTCTTTGTATACCAGGTTGCAAATTGCTGCTTGTATCTGTCCACGACCTGAGGGTGCAGAGCTGTTAGCTGTAATGCCCCTCCATTTTGGCATGCTCTTCATGCTGTGGTTTCTTCTGCTGTCTCTATTCACGTGCTCTCACATCCAAAAGGGGATGTAGTTCAGCAGAGATAAGTTTTACAAAGCACTTCAAGTGCAAGACTGGTATAGTGAGTGAGTGAACAAAACCAGACTGAATCTATATGAAAGAACCGATTAAGATGGGCTAGGAGGAAACGTGGGTTAAAGTGCATTAAGGCTTCTGATCTCTGGAGAATTGTTTGTTTGTTTTTTTAAAAATACTGGTTTAGGTCACAAGTCAAAACGGGTTGGTGGTGTCATCCTACACCCCATTTGTGCACAATACAAAACCACTAAACAATGTGTAATAACTTGCCATGACAGGCAGTCTCTGCTCCAGAGAATCCCAGGACAGCGATAGGATGACCGGTCTGGACATAGCTGTCTGAGGAAGTTTTTACAGCATCTTCCCACGCAACATCTTATTAGAGCTCTAGCCAGAGAATCATTTCACGAACACTATCTCTCTCTCTCTCTCTCTCTCCCCCCCCCCACCCAGGTTGTCCATACACCTGAGCCCATAGTATCTAAGCACTTAGATTCATGCAAACATTCAAATTAAGAAAAATACTTCATCATTTCCAAACAGAAATGGATCCCCTTGTGTAAAGAAAGCTGCGCATCAGCTGCTGAAATCTTCCCCTGGCCCTACTTTCCTGGTCAATTAGCAGGGGGTTATGTGAAGGTTGAATTGACTGAGATACCTATGATGGAGGGATTTTATTTTTATCATGAGCGTTGGTGGGTATTCATTAGAACCAGCTGAGCAGTCCATTGTGGGATATTTTGAATACTTTCATACTGTGACATTTTATTCATGTATTTAAAAGCTCCAAGACCATGGAATGAGCACTATGTAGAATCACAGAAATGTAGGATTGCCAGGGACCTCGAGAGGTCATCTAGTCCAGCTCCCTACACTGAGGTGGAACCAAGTAAACCTAGACCATCCTTGAGAGGTGTTTGTCCAACCTGGTCTTAAAAACCTCCAAAGATGGGGATTCCACAAACTCCCTTGGAAGCCTATTCCAGGATTCAATTTGTGATCCACTATAACCCCCAGATCCTTTTCAGCTGTATTACTACCGAGACAGTTTCTGCCCGTTTTGCATTTGATTTTTCCTTCCTAACTTCAGTACTTTGCACTTGTCTCTACTGAATTTTTTATTTTGTTCATTTCAGACTAATTCTCCAATTTATCAAGGTTGTTTTGACTTCTAACCCTCTCTCCAAAGTGTTTGCAATGCCTCACAACTTGGTGTCATCTGCAAATGTTATAAGCATACTCTCCACTCCATTATCCAAGCCATTAATGAAAATATTGTGGAGTACTGGACCCAGGACTGACTCCTGCTGGACCCTACCAGCTATGGGAACCATTGATAACTACTCTTTGACTGTGGCCTTTCAAGCAGATGTGCACACCCTTTATAGTAATTTTATTTAGACCACATTTCCCTAGTTTGTTTAGGAGAAGGTCATGTGGGACATGTCAAAAGCCTTAATAAAATCAATTATTTTAAAATTAGTCATTTATTTTGATCCATAAAAGATGAATCCGTAACTTTTTGAGATGTCCTTGCATTATAGGTGCCATAAAAATGTATTACTGTGTTATGTTACATTGTTTTACAAAAATCAGTCAAGGATGGAGCAGCAGCCTTAATCTCTGCATTTCCTTCCTTTGCATGTGTCAGTCAGATCCTTGCTGTTACAAGTGTAGGGTGATCTTACACCTGGTTCAGCCCCTTTACACCATGTAAAAAGGGACAGAGAGTGTAAATGGGACCTAAGAAGCTCCATGTCTGATTGAAGGAGGATTCCCTCAGCACAGGCACCGTGGACAACAGCCATAAAGCTAACAACCATAAGCCCATGCACATCATCACTCACGAGCCCTGACACAGTAAGTGTACCAAGGGCATGCTGAAATGGGGCCGTAACACTGCAGACATTCCAGTTATAGGGCAGCCTGGGGATGCTGCTGCAATTTAAAATGCTGCAGGATCAAGCTCTTTGACTGTAACATCTTCATGGCTGGGGTTGTGTCTTTAATGCTCACATGTTGCTCCATCAACAAATACTATATGGAATAATAATTAATAATAAATGTGAACTATCACATCTTTTCCTTCTAAATTTTATTTTGGATTGATGTATAATGGGTTAATTATTATAGAGATGTGTGTATTTGTTTGAATGATCCATTCCAAAGCATCACAGTGGTTATTCAAATGTAGAACAAGTTTCATATACACCAGATTTCTTAAAGTATGTATATTAGAAAAGAAAGCATGGATCAGGAAAATACTTTTGTACCAAAAGTTCATTATATTTTCTACACAACTGAACTATACTTTTCAAAACTGAATACCTAAACTACCCATGCAAATCCTGCATTTGAGCAAACAAGTATGCACCTAAACATATAATGGCCACGTTTGCGTAGCTATGTGCCCACTTATGCATGCAATTAAGGCCACCACCTTTGGAAATTGGATGTTTTTTAATTAGACAAATTATCACTATTGTGAATAAAAACAAGACAATATGCTAGTTTTCCAATTTATACTTTCCCCTGTGCCCCTACAGTTTCTTAGGGTTAATATTTAATAATGACAGAGCACCATTTAGCAAAGATGCTCTGTGAACTTTGCACATAAAAGGCTACGAGAGGTGTACATCATCATTTCCTCCTATCCATAGACATACTGGAAGGAAGCTTGGGGAAGCTGACTTGCTGCTTCCCCAGTCTATACCTATTCTGTGGATAGTGGAAAATTCAATCTGACTCCTTTCACTGCACTAAATTCTCTCTCTCTTCGCAAAAACGCCTTTGTTACATTAAGCAAACATTACGGACCCTTTTCCTTCTTGAGGCTGTCACAGAGGCATGTCTCTAAGTTCCAAGTAGTCAGAGAGGGGTGGTCAAAGGCAAAAATCCAAAATCCATCAGCAAATTGTGGAAAGAAATTCTAGTTCATACTTAAACTTCTAAACCAACCAAATTACGCCATTCAGAAGATTTCATAAATAAAGCCCCAAGAAAGAATGTATTAACATGACTTTGCATTAATTAATGTAAATGTAAATAATATTAATAACTTGAGTATTTCTGAGTATAATCCACTACAAGGAAGTTTAGATCTAGTTAGCTAAAGTGCAGGGCTGATTTATCTATTTAACATATTCCTTTCAACAGACTGGGTGGATTTTGATACTCTTGCCAGATACAGTATGCAGCTGCTGGCAACTGACCTTTTCAAGTAATACAGTACATTCTGTGTAATAGAATACTTGATAAGGAAAACTAGTCTGCACATGAATCTCCAGCACTACACAGAAGTTAGGATAGGTTGTGTCATTTTAACACACGTCTTAAACTTTTGAATGGCACCTGATAAACACAAGTCTGAAATGCAGTTGCATGCAAAGATATGCCTCTTACAATAATACAAGCTAGTCAGACCAAATAAGTTTGTATGTAATTAAATAATTTGTTTTTGCCTGTCCATAATAAAAGTCTTTATGTAAATTACAATTTTCTGAGTATACCCTAACTGACAAAATTATAAATCTGAACATCCCAACCACTTTTGTACATGTCAAAAAGACTTAATTATGAATTAATTGTTTGGCATTTTTAAATGAATTAATGTTTACATTATAAATGCAAAAAACAGCATATAAAATTAGTGAGCTGTTATGAGCCTGATTTGCCTTTCTCTCACTGGTTTTATTTACAGTAGCATAGAAGCATTGATTTCAAGGAAGCAAAAGATTAATCAAGTGCTGTATACAATATGCATCTAATTTTAAAGTGGTAGGACTGAGAGGTTTTTTCTATCTTTCCAAAAATTTCACATCCAAACTACAGGAGAACCTCAGAGTTACGAACACCTCTGGAATGGAGCTTGTTTGTAACTCTGAAATATTCGCAAAAAGAAAAGGAGTACTTGTGGCACGTTAGAGACTAACCAATTTATTTGAGCATAAGCTTTCGTGAGCTACAGCTCACTTCATCGGAAGCTTATGCTCAAATAAATTGGTTAGTCTCTAAGGTGCCACAAGTACTCCTTTTCTTTTTGCGAATATAGACTAACACGGCTGCTACTCTGAAATCTGAAATGTTCGTAACCCTGAAAAAAATGTTATGACTTTCAAAAGTTTACAACATTGACTTAATACAGCTTTGAAACTTGACTATGCAGAAGAAAAATGCTGTGTGTGTCTCTCTCTCTGCTGCTGCCTGATTGCGTACATCTGGTTCCAAATGAGGTGTGTGGTAACTCATGTTTGCAACTCTGAGGTTCTACTGTAAATCTTTTATATCACATTTCAACACAAGAGATCGGTTTGTTTGCATGTTTACAGCAATGATAAAAATCCTGTAAAATTATTCTTATCATGAAAGCCATTAAATACCCCTAACTATGGACGTACAAACATTTGCTAAAAATGTGAAAGCCCCCTCCTCCACCATTTTAAAAGTTTCCTCCTTCACCACAGACACTGCACAGCTATTGTTCTACAAGATCATCTTCCACCTTCCTGCCCTGCTTGACATACTCCTTCTAACTGCGTATTACATTTCCTCACCTACTAAAACCAAAAGGTGATAGACCTCCCGCAAGATCACATCTAATTTCTCTCTGAACATTACAGTGCATGCAGCATATACCACAAAACAGAAAAAGGAATTTAATCCTTACTCACCAGAGAAGAGCCTGAACTGCAAGAGTGAGATCAGGATGAACGGGCCTGGTCCAAAGCACTAGAAGTTCATTGGGAGTTTTTCCAATGATTTCAGTGGGCTTTGGAATGGGCTTGAGAGGTCATCTAGCCCCAAAATTAGTATTCTAGGGGTTTGGCTCAGCAAAATTTTCAATATTACAACCAGCAGCCTGATTTAGATATGGATCTAGGTTCAAACTGGGACTATTCAAACCGCAGATTTGGTTTGGGCCCATCCCTATTCAGAATATTATATTTTGGTGCAGTTAGATAAGACCAGGCAAAGGCCAGCAGCAGCAGAAATATGAATGAGCTAGAGCAGCAAGGGAATCTGGGACATTCAACTGCTAAATCTGTAATGTGACATTTCAGAATGAAAATCACTTTGCACTGTCCATGCCCATCAAGTGTCTGCAAGCTGTAATTCCAATCTGAGCAATAAGTGCTAGACATGGCAAGTTCCTACTTTGCACGGTTACTCTATACTTCCTATATTAACCTGGTAGGACTGGACGCAACCCAAAAGGGCCTTTCGTCGGGGAGATGCCACGAACGATACAGTCGAACAGAAAGCTGATCTGCTCTCCTTCGGCACAAGAAAGGAAAAAAACACCAGCCCCTGAAAGAAAGCACAACATTAATACAGACTTTTCATCTGCACGCATAACAGAAACAAAGATTAAACATTTATATGTGATGATCAAAAGAATGTTGTGTGCTGTCATGAAAGAAATCAGTGAGATATATTCTGAGCAAAAAAATAAAAGGAACAAATTTAATGGCAACACATTTTGATCCGAGAAACTGTAAGCAGCAGACTCAATCATTTCTACCTTCTCAGTTAGCTTTCTGAGAGTCATGCAACCAAAAACAAATTAAACCAAGGCAAAATACAAGCGGTGGAAAACAACAGCTGCCTGTTTCTTATATTCTTATTTATACATCAACTTTCTCAGGTCAGAGCTGCATCAGTCATCTGCTTTAGAATTTAGGAGATTTGTTTACATATCAAGTATTTACTGTAGAAATCTAAGTCCTAGTTAGAGATGGGGCTGAGCAGTAAATTTCAGACCTGAACCTCTCCCAAGTTTAGGATTGTTTGGATTTGGAACATAGGAATTGCCATGCTGGATCAGAACCAAGATCCATCTAGTCCAGTATCATATCTCCAATAGTGACCAGTACCAGCTACTTCAGAGAAAAGTGAAAGGACCCCACAGTAGGCAAATGTGGGATAATCTGCTCCCCCACATTAGGTCTCAACCTGACCTCTAATAGTTAGAGATGGCTTAAGTACTGAAGCACGGAGGTTAAACCTCCCTTCTTAAATTTTTGCTAGCATTAAGGTTTGATTAAACTGAACTGAGACAGGCCTGAGTCTTGAAGCTCAGGTATGAATTTTCCCATAGTTTAAGGGGTGCTTTTTAAAAGTTATATACACAACACCTACATATTGTGATGATTGGTGAGCTATGAATACCGATAGATAAACAGATCTGTCCACCGTTCTTCAGGCCCAAAACTGACCACAATCAAAGTGCAACTAAAATGCCTGTAACTGCTGGTGGTTCAAGAGCAGAAATTGGAAGAGACTCAGTATGTGTTGAGTCAGCCATGAAGGAGCAGGCTGCAATGTGGCCTGCTCAAATGTTTGGGCTGCAACCTGCCCCTGCACTTGTTGCTGTTTAGAATTCCACTGTGTGAGATCTATAAATACACAGAAGACTTGTGGCTTTAATGAAACAATGTTTTCATTTTAAAAAGTTCAGAAAACAATAAAAAGGTACAGGACATTTCTTTACTGATTATGGTTGAATCCAGTGAAGTCAATGACAAACTCCCATTGGGCCAAATTCTCTTTTCAGTGATGCCAGTGTATAGCCAAAGTAACTCCACTGAAATTAGTTAAGTTACTCCACATTCAGCCCATCTTAATTAAGAGCAGAACCTGACCTATTATTTTCAAACGGATCAGGACTTGGTCCTCAAAGAGTTATTTTTCTGCACAGTATTATAAGCTAAGAATTCTTTTACCCATTTTCCTGTGTACCCAAACAACTAGTATCAGTTCTGTGTGCCTATTATTAACAGAATGTAAGGTGATCCCATGAGTTGTCATCAGATCTTTACCCTTCATTCTGTTCTCGTATTTTGCTTTCCATTCATTAAGAATAGCACTCAGCAAACTTAGAATGAGAATCATAAATAAGTAAATAAATAAGCAAGCTTTGAGCTGCGTGTTGTGCAGAGGCTAGATAGCTCAGGGATTGCAGATGCCATACAGAATCCTTTACTTCTAGGTTGCCAGTATAAATCCAACTCAGGTCAGACATAACCAAAAAATTATCTTCTGTTGCTGTTTTTTTGCTGATCTCAGTCCAGTTCCCACTGGACAAGTGCCCACATTAGAAAAGGCTCTGCCATGACTGACAACCTCAGCAGAGACAACAATGACTGAACGGGCATCAAGACTGAACTTATTGTATGCACCACCATGAAGTGTTCCTGCAAGTTGGATTTGAGACACACTAGAAGGGCAATGTGTGGAAGTTTGTGCCCTGCAGTATGGATAAACAGAAGATTTCAGCCATTATCCTCCCTGTGACACAGGCCCGTAATCTGGGCATAATCTTTGACTCGGCCCTCTTGACACCCTTCCAGCCTGTATGTAAATCCTGTCACCTCTTGCCACAGAACATGCTCTTGTCCAAGCCCTCATTATCTCATACCACAGCTACTGTCATTTCCTTCGTTCTGGCCTTGCCTCCTCCTTCCTTGCCCCACTCAAGTCCGTTCAAAACACTGCTGCTAGAATCATCTTCCTGACTTGTTGCTCTGGGATGCCACCCCTGATAGTGCCCCTCCATGGGCTCCCACTTCCCCATCACAATAAACAAAACACCTCTGTACTCATCTTCAAGGCCCTTCACCTTTTAGTGCCATCCTGTCTATGAGATCTAGTACATAAGAACATAAGTAAGTATTCTATGGCAACGTCATCCTCCATCTTTGTTCAACAGCAGCCTTTAATAGCTGTTAGTGCACATCTCACTTAAGCACTTTTGTGTTTTCACCCATGCTGCGCTTTAGATATGGGATCTTAAATAAAGATTTCATTGTCTCTTTAAGGCACTGGCCTCTATGTGGGTTATGCAGAGTCATACCGGGGGGATGTATTGTGCTTCAGGGTGGAGGGGAAGCTCACCTTCAGGGGTTGCATTCTCCCCCTTGCATGCTAGTCCTGCTGTGTGCAAGCTTTGGGTGGGATTCAGGTGAGAACACTCCTTGCTTCCACGGTCCTGTAGTGGCACCAAATCTTGTATAAAGGGTGTCAAATAAGGTGTCTAAGACAAGGTTATGTTTTGCTGGTTATGATTATGCTATCTATAAATACAAAAATGATCCATGCATAAAGTTATAAGTATTGGCTCTATACCAGGGGTGGGCAAACTTTTTGGCCCGAGGGCCACATTGGGGTTGTGCAACTGTATGGAGGGCAGGGTGTGCGTCCCCAAACAGCCTGGCCCCTGTTTCTGCCCCCCCCCACTTCCCACCCCCTGACTGCCCCCCTCAGAACCTCCAACCCCTATCCAACCCCCCTGCTCCATGTCCCCTGACAGCCCCCCTGGGACTTCCACCCCCTATTCAACCCCCCTCTGCTCCTTGTCCCCTGACCACCCCCGCCCGGGATGCCCCACCCCTAACTACCCCCTGGGATCCCACCCCCTTATACAGCCCCCCCTGCTCCCTGTCCCCTGACTGCCCTCCAGACCCCTATCCACACCCCTGCCCCATGACAGGCCCCCTGGGACTTCCACTCCCAACCCTCCCTGTTCCCCATCCCCTGACCGCCCCCCCCAAGTACCTCCTCCCCATCCAACCACCCCCTGCTCCCTGACTGCCCCCCCAGGACTCCCTGCTCCCTTACACAACCCCCCGCTCCCTACCCTCTTACCAGCAGCAGGAGCTCGCAATCCGCGCCACCCAGCCAGAGCCAGCCATGATCCCCATGCTGCCCAGTAGGAGCGGTGGGCCAGAGCACTGCCTGCACGGCAATGTGGCTGTGGGGGAAGGTGGACAGTGGGGGAGGGGCCAGGGACTAGCCACCCAAGCCGGGAGCTCAGGGGCCGGACAGGACGGTCCCGCGGGCCGAATGTGGCCACGGGCCGTAGTTTGCCCACATCTGCTCTATACTGTCTGTAGTTCAAACTTGTGCTATGCTTCTGGGTGACACCCCAGACAAGTTGGTGTCAGCTCTGCCTAGCCTGCTTGATGGCCCATTAAGGACCATCAGCTATACAACTGACCCATTGAGAGAAGGCAAACACGCCTTGTGACTCAGCAAGGTATACAGGGACATGCCTACGGACAGAACTCTGAAGTTTTTCCAGGCCATGTGATGGATAGCTTGTCTGTGGGACAAAGAAAGAAAGACCACATGGCAAGAGAATATAAAAAGCTGCTGCAGCTCCTCCATCTTGTCTTCAATCCTCCTTCATACCTCGGGAGGAACTTTGCTACACTGAAGCTTTGAACAAAGGACTGATGACCCATCCCAGGTGTGGATGTTTGTACTCCAGAGACTTGATTTGAACCTGCAATTTATTGTATCGTTGCAAGCCTGAACCAAGAACTTTGCCATTACTGTATGTAATTGATTCCTGTCAAGGTTCCTTCCCCACTCTGAATGCTAGGGTACAGATGTGGGGACCTGCATGAAAAACCTCCTAAGCTTATCTTTACCAGCTTAGGTCAAAACTTCCCCAAGGTACAAAATATTCCACCCTTTGTCCTTGGATTGGCCGCTACCACCACCAAACAAATACTGGTTACTGGGGAAGAGCTGTTTGGAAACGTCTTTCCCCCCAAAATACTTCCCAAAACCTTGCACCCCACTTCCTGGACAAGGTTGGGTAAAAAGCCTCACCAATTTGCCTAGGTGACTACAGACCCAGACCCTTGGATCTTAAGAACAATGAACAATCCTCCCAACACTTGCACCTCCCGTTCCTGGGAAATGTTGGATAAAAAGCCTCACCAATTTGCATAGACCCAAACCCTTGGATCTGAGAACAATGAAAAAGCATTCAGTTTTCTTACAAGAAGACTTTTAAAAGAAATAGAAGTAAATAGAAGGAAAGAAATCACCTCTGTAAAATCAGGATGGTAGATACCTTACAGGGTAATTAGATTCAAAACATAGAGAATCCCTCTAGGCAAAAACTTAAGTTACAAAAAGGATACACAGACAGAAATAGTTATTCTATTCAGCACAATTCTTTTCTCAGCCATTTAAAGAAATCATAATCTAACACGTACCTAGCTAGATTACTTACTAAAAGTTCTAAGACTCCATTCCTGGTCTATCCCCGGCAAAAGCAGCATATAGACAGACAGAGACCCTTTGTTTCTCTCCCTCCTCCCAGCTTTTGAAAGTATCTTGTCTCCTCATTGGTCATTTTGGTCAGGTGCCAGCGAGGTTACCTTTAGCTTCTTAACCCTTTACAGGTGAGAGGAGCTTTCCCCTGGCCAGGAGGGATTTCAAAGGGGTTTACCCTTCCCTTTATATTTATGACAATTCCATTTAACCAATTCTAGCTCTCTTCTATATCTTTTTCC